CGGGGCCGGCCGCCATCGCCGCGCCCCGCCGGCAGCGCCGCCCGCGGGGGCCGCGGCTCAGAAGGCCGAGGGGAGGGCGGGGATGAGGAGGAGCGGCGGCTCCGCGCCTTCCCCATCTCCGCGCTGAGCGAGCGGCACCTGCCAGGCCCCGCCCGTGCCAGGCGGTGCGGTGTGCCCGGAGATGCAGTGCCCGGTTTTCCCCATCGTTAAACGCACGGACCGGTCCGAGGGGACAGCGAGGCTCTGCCCACCCCGTGCGGCGCCGTGCCGTGCAGCGCAATGCAATGCAGCGCAAGGCAACGTAGCGCAAAGCAAAGCAATGCAAAGCAATGCAATGCAATGCAGCGCGGCGCGTCGAGCCCCAGCCGCGGTTCGGCTTTGGCGGCGCTGTGCCGTCCTCGGGCGCCCCCTGGTGGCGCAGCGCTGCACGGCGCTTTCCCGGTGCCGTTCCGTCGCGTCTTGAAGGCGGATCCCAGCGGATCTTTCAGGCTGGGAAGGGACGCTGAGATCCGCAGTCGCGGTGATGAGCTGAAGCCACGCTGGACCAGGCCTGGAGCTGCACTGCTGTGCACCGATGGTGCAGCTCATGGACTTAATGCCCCCGTGAGCTGTGCAGTGCAGCCATGGAGCTGCGGGCTGCCCTGCGCTCCTGGGAGCAGCACACAGTGCTCCTATGGAAACCGCCCGCAAAAAGCCATTGGATGTCGATGTGTTCAAGACTTTGGTTTTCCTCTCAGGAATTTTGGCCAAGTATCTTTGCAGAGATTTCTACATCCAGGATTCCTGGCTGTCTGAACGAGCTTCAGAGTGCTAACAAGACCGAGAGGCACCGCTCATGAGAACTGGCAGTAATCCATGCAAACAGTGCTCCCCAAACTTCTGGCATGTGTGCCGTTACTTCTGGGACGCCGCTTTGCTCATGCACAGATTCTCACATCTCCCCAAGCTGTGGGATCTGCTCCGGCTGCCTCTAAATCAGCGCAGCGCCTTCCTGGCAACGTCCACTACGATGGGCACTGTGTGCAAACCCTGCAGCAACCACAGCTGGGTGTGCAGGTTGGACTCCATAGTGGAATTTATCCTCAGCAGAATGAACTCCTGTGCAAGAAGGGGCTGCTGTCTGTGCCTGTGACACTGCTGCCATCTTCCCATCTTTCTGACACCCCGGGGTCCCTCACACTGCTGACCACATCCCTGTCTATTTTCCTATGATGCTCTTTCGAATTTAGCCCAGCTCTGGTCTTTGAGCACGAAGCTTTTGAACAAAAAGTTCTTATTGCAGGTCTGCTCCCAAGATGATCAGTTTGAGCACACACCATTCATTCATCTCCCACATCCAGAATAAAATCCGCATCGTGTGCCTCCAGCTGCCGCTATCTTTAAGTACTGTTTTCGTTCCCTTCAGTTTCTCCTGAACTTTGACTGCTCCACGATAAATAAGTGCTTTATTTATGAAACAAACAAAGCTTTCTGGCACAGCCCGGATTTGTGCCTCTCGCCTTTCACCGCAGCCTTCCCCGCCCCGTGGTGCGAAGCATCGCAGCGCCGACCCGACAGCAGATGGCGCGGGGACCCACGGCACCTGCCGAGCTGCGGGGACGGCTTCGCCTCCATCCTCGGCCGCTAAAGGGCTCCCTCAATGGAAGGGACCGGCCAGCCAAAGCCCTCCTCCACGAGGACAGCAAGGCAGAGAACCTTAGGATCGTTAAGGTTGGGAAAGACCTTCGAGTTCCCCAAGCCCAACCCCAGCCCGTCCCCCCGCACCGCCCACATCCCTCAGCGCCACTTCCGCGGCTCCGAACGCCCCCAGGGATGCTGACCCCTGCGCACTCCTCCAGCCCTGCAGCGAACAGCCCTGGAGCAAAGAGCAGAGCCGAGATTTGCAGCAGCAGAGCCCAAATTTCACGATGCTGGGCCCTTTTCTGAAGATGTCACTCAGCTTTTCATTCATCCGTTCCATCTTTGGAGGAAGGAAGCGGGGAGATGTGAGCCTCCAGAACCCGACAGCCCTGCTGCACATCTCTGGGAACTCAGCAGGAGGGGGTGGCTCTGTCCAGGTCTGCAGCCATCTGCAGCACCAGAGTGCTGAGCATTGCACACTTCCTATGAGTCATCTCATTTCCCGGCCCCACGGGGCAGGACGCACGTCCCCATGGCTGCATCAGAGCTGGGGTAAGGCTTCAGCCCTCAGCAGGAACTCAGAGAGCCTGGAGGGAGATCCGTGGCCATCAGGACCACCTGATGGTGACGTGGAGGTGCTCAGGTCAACCTGCGTGGTGGCAGCTGGGGATGCTCTGCTCAGTGACGTGGTTCCCTGTGTGAGGCAGGGAGAACCCATCGCTCTGCAACCACCGCAGGGAGCTGCAGTGAGAAGGGATCAGCCTTTTTTCTCAAGGGACAGATGACGTGTGGGTTGCTCTATAAGTAATGCCTCCTATTTGTTTCCAGGGAAACCACTATAGATACAAAGAACACAATAACACGATTTGATAGAGCAAATTCTCAGCTCCTCAGATTCAAAGCTCCACAATCTTTCCTGAGCTGAGGGCCTCAGATCTGGACTCAGCTCTGCAGATGGGGCCTCACAAGGGCAGAGCAGAGGGGGGCAATCCGCTCCTGCTCACTACCACCCCTCTTTTGATGCAGCCCAGGCTGCAGTTGGCTGCAAGATCACAGTGCTGGCCCACCTGCAGCCTTTTGTCCCTCAGGACCCCTGGTCCTTCTGTGCAGGGCTGCTCTCAAGGAGTTCTCCCGGTCTGTACACATATCTGGGATTGCCCTGGCTCAGCTGTAACACCCTGCACTTGGTCCTGCTGAACCCCATAAGGTTCACGGACCCCCATTTTGAGTGCATTCTGGTCCCTTTGGATGGGAAGTTGAGATTGAATGTTAGGGAGCATTTATTCGCAGAGAGGATGGCCGAGCGTCGGCACAGGCTGAATGAGGGATGGGGAGGAGCTCCCCGCGTCGGAGCTGTGCGGATGTGGCACAGAGGGATGCGGTGCAGCGCTGGGACGCGGTAGTGCTGGGTGATGGTTGGGCAGCGCGGGGTGCAGAGGGGACAGCGGGTGGCAGCGAGGTGGCAGAGGGCGCTGGGGGTGACGCTGGGAGCGCTGGGGTGGCATCGTGCCGTGATGGGCGCCGCGAGGCTGACGGCCTCCGTGCCTTCCTCCTCCTCCTCCTCCTCCTCCTCCTTCTCCTCCTCCTCCGCCCGGGGCAGTGACATCAGGCCGTGCTGGCGCTGAGCGCGAAGCGCCGCCTCCCCCCGCCGCCAACAAAAGTCCCCGAGCGCCCTGCGGGCCCCAACGCCGCACCCGCCGCCTCCCGACCCGCCCGGCCCGGCCCGGCCCACAGCCGCAGGTACGAACCGGGGCCGCCGGACCCCAACATCCCACCCCGCCCGCGGATGGGGAGCTCCGCGCACGGCGCGCCCGGAGGGCTGCGGCCCCGCGGGTGGGCGAGGGTCGATGCTGCTGGGTGGGCGGAGGGGCACGGGGAGCACCGGGGGACTTGGGGGGGTAAGCAGAGGAGGAGGACGAAGTTTGGCCCCGGGGACAGAATCGCAGAACTTCCCCATCCGGGCCGGGTGCTGGCGGTGATGCTCATCGGGAAGTCCCAACGGCCGCGCCGCGCTCCCTCTCCCCGTGCCCTGCGTCGCTTTGCCTTTCAGAGCGGATAACTTTTGGGAGCCGGGGGGACCGGGAGAGCGGCCCCCATCACTGCGCAGCGGGCGCGGCTCCGGGCTCCCCAAACCCCGCAGGTGGCAGCGGGGCCGCGCGTGGCAGCGGGCATTGGTCAGCGCTGAGCACCACGCGCGGATGCTGCCAGGAGGCAGCGATCGCTGGGGAAGCTCCGGAGCAGCCGCTTGAATTCGTCTCGAGGACGCAGCGCGGTGCTGGGATGCAGGGAGGGCTGTGCCGGGCCGGGAGGTGCAGCAGCTGCCAGCTGTGGGGTTGGCTGTGGGGTTGGATCCTGGGGTTGTTGCTGCTCCTCGTTGCTGTGGTTGTGGCTCAGCACTTGCTTGCCATCCACAGAGCGCATCGCCAAAGCAGGGGCAGCGCGGTCCCCTCCCCGCCGTGATTCCATCCCTCTTCCCCCACCTGCATCTCCACCTCCATCAGGCAGAAAGCCTTGCAAAGCTGCAGGGAGCTGTGTCGGGCAGGAGGTTTGATCCCCACGGAAGCCAGGAGCTTTTCTTAGCGTCCATGAAAGTGCTTTGCAGAGTTCTGCATAAAATCGGGCTTTTCTTTGAGAAATGAGCTGAATGCCCAGCTGTGATAGGGAGCTTTCCAGTTTGTAAGCTCAGCCTGGGAGCCATGTGGCCGTCAGGCAGCAGCAGGCAGCTCTGTGCTCTTGATACCCGTGCGTGGCAGCAGGGTGGCACAGCACTGCTCCTCCCTGCCACAGACATCAGATGGGCAGCAGTGGTACCCCAACGTCCCACTGCAGGACCTGGGGGCACAGTGTGTGTGTGAGGGTCGCTCCTGACTTCAGATCCC